AATATCTGTTTCTCATCACTAATCTAATGGATTTTGATTTACTATTAGCATTTATGAATTTCTGGCAAATTGACTAAACACAAATACAATTTATTTGCGAAATTCCTATGAAATGGAAACATGTAAATATTTGTAAAACTGATTTTCTTTAAATGAAACCGCTTCTATTTTACCAGCAATTCTTCGGATAACAAGTTATCTGCTTTAACCACAACTATATTTATAAAAATATTTGTACGTTTGTTGCTGAGCTGATAATCGATTAAATTCAAAACAAGATATTTGTTTATTCCTATGGTCCATAGATTTGAAAGCAAATTTCTCTTAAATCTCTCATAAATCTTTATCGATGCTTTATTGGCGATAATGGTCGGTTGATTACGTATAAAGTGCCGAATTTCGTCAATAACCACAGAAGAACAAAGCAAATCGATTTGAAATGTGCAATGTTTGTTTTCTATCATTGTTGGCCTTCGTAGACATCACGAGAAGAGAGAAAACCAGAAGATTTCTTGGTTGTTATTTTCGATTCGGGATGTTCTTTTCTTGAATTCGGGTCATTTATTATTTACTATTTCTGGAGACTGACACTCGCCAGAGAAAAATATTTATATTTCAATTGATGTCTGTTTTGGTTACGGTGTGAATTAGATTAGATATCGATAAATTATATTTGTACACGTCAATAAAAAAACAACCAAGTCGGCATATGATTGGCAGGGCCAACAATTTCCAGTATAGCCAAAGAAGTGAAAAACTGCGCCAAATAATGGCATAAAAGTACAGGAAAGAGGATCCCCAAGAGCTAACGAAAATCAAAATTATGTGGTGTGACCTACCCCAACAAATCAAAATTTAAACCATTCAGTGTTAATTAAATGGGATCGAAACAAATAAAAATAAGGGTATCGTCATGGGTATATACCTTAACCAACTAAATTTGGTATGTTCCTGCTTTTCTCATGATTCCTGGCATCTTCACGCTTTGTTAGACTGAGCTCAAACTTAGTGTTACAGGTCTTATTCAAGTTTATAATTATGCCTTCTTATTGGTAAACGGATGTCTGACAGTAATTTTATCGCCAAACAGGAAAGCCACCGGTTTTCAAATTTTGCATCACTTACCAACTTTGTTTTCAAAAATTTCTAATTTATTGTGAAAAATTATATGAATCTATTATTTTCAAAATCTACAATATGACTCATCTGAAATTGTCGAAATACTGGTTTCAACCAATTTAACTTTTTTTATTTAACATTTTAATGTGATCACCTAGGGATTATCTATTTTTTATGGCCGTTATTTGTACAGCTAAAACGTATATAATAATGACAATAACATTTGTTTTGATAGTTGTTTTTATTTTTTATGGAGTCTTTTATAATTATCTGGTTTTAAAACACTGCCGAGAGTAGTAAATAAGAATTAAAGATTTGATAATAAAAGGCGGGGTCGAGATTTCTTCGGATTATAAGCTAATTTCGCAAAAAAAAATATATAGCAATAATTGTGCCAAAACGTCGGGGGGAATGATTATATAAATTTGTCTAATCCAATTTATATTTATCTTTTACTTTTTGTCAAATTTACCGGGTTTCTTATATTATGCAATAACGTTTTTTTACTGTCCTTGAAAATTTTTTGTAATAGGGAATTGTATATATAATCCACGATCCACATAGAATCAATTTCATTTTTCACTTTTATGACCAGTTGTTTGTTAATTTTGTCGCCCAGTGTTATTATCCATAATGTATATGTGCACATGTATTTGCTAAAAGAAAATATAATAGCCTTTTCAATAAGACTGATATAAATATGTTAAGAAACAAATATTTTACAAAGAATAATTTTAAGAATATATAAAAAATTTACAACAGAAAAGGAAACTGTGGTATTGGCATGCAATCACCTCTGACGCACGAGACTTTTTATATAAACTTTGTTGTATTTATTTTTATTTTTCACGAGTTCGCTCACGACTGTACGCCAGTAAAAAGCTATTAAATGCAGAAATGTCTGCCAAAAATTTAAGCTTACCGCTGGTTATTCGAGTATATAATGTGGTTGTGTGTAAACATTTAAAAGGAAGAAATCGATTTTATTATAATTATTAATCCCTACGTGATTGTATAAACGAAATAATAATTATTTTTGTTGCATTATAATTTGCCTATGTTATTATTAATTTATTAATATATCTTATAAGTAATAATTTCTGTTTTGAATTCACAATCATTTTTAAGATATGCCTAAACAGCTAATCCCAGACATGATAATAACTCAAAAACAGAACCAGAAAGCAAAAATTTAGCAGTTTTTCCATACCCAGACAGAAACCCATACCAAGTGTGACCGTTTTAGAGTGCGTATTATAGATTCAAGTTCCATAAATTAGACGGAGGTAATTGTCTTCTTATAACAAAAATCATTGATATGGAAGATATATTAAGACTTAAGAAAACATCTAAAATCGAATGAAACATACATGTATATGGTAGCTATGGTTATGTCTGAATTGAATTGGCAAAATTTATTCTACTCGGAAATCGATTGTATGAAAATTCGGGTTCATTATACAATTTCACAATACGTGAGCGCTATATCTAAATCTGCTCCAATTCAGGCAAGATATTTCGAATGTATAACCGAACAAGTAAAAAAGCAGTAAGTTCGGCCGGGCCGAACTTTGAATAACCTCCATCATTTAAAACGAATTTGGCTATTTTCAAAAAAGGGTCTATATGACGATGTGGACCTGTCATTAGCCATTACAATATTCAAATATGAAAATGGAAAAGCAATCGGTGAATAATGTTGATGGCTTTACCAAAACGTGAAAGTGCACAGACAATTTTCAGTCATAGGCTGTAGTATCCATTACGAATAATGTCGTAAATGTAATGATAAATGTAAATGTAATGACAGTACCGAATATCGGGAGGTACCGTTATATGGGGGCTATATGAAGACATGGACCTGTACAGACAATTTTCTGACGAACTTCAAATACCAAATTTGAAACATTTCCGGTGAATAATGTCGCTTAAGTCACCAAAATGCCGAAAATAGGTGGCTACCATTATGTGGGGGCTATACCAAAACGTGGACCTACATAGCCCATTTTTAATACCAAAAGTCCCGCAGACATAATATACATTTGAGTAAAATTTCATCAACCTACTTCATTTCGTTCGGAAGCTAGAGTGATTTCCACAGAAGGACAGACGGACGGACATCGCAAAATCGACATACCGCCGTCAGGCGTTACCGACCATATGATACCCACTATGCATATACATTTTTAGTACCAAATAACATTGCTATAGAGTGCAAGATATGACTTAGAGAAGGATTATGTACAGAAATATATTTTGGAGCAATAGATATATGTGAACCGAGTTTCACCAAATAGAAAAATTTGGTTGAATGGGCAAAAATCCATCAAATTTCAACTGATATGAAATATCTGGTGCATAATAAAATCGGATGAAAACATAGAATCTATATCCAAACCTGAACTGATATCGATTTGGTACCATTTGTCATTGTTATGAGGGACTTTAACACCATATCGGATGAAACATATGTATCGGAACTGTAACAACCGTGTTCTAGAAAAACGAAACGAAATCACTGTGTTGACCATTAAGTGGCGTTGCCGGTATGCTGGCGTTTAGCGCGGCTATGGCTCGTCGGATTGGGGGTTGGTTCTTGCCACTTGCAGATCTTTTCGGTTGAACAAACAAAAAAAATCATACCGGACTTCAAACTAAATTAAAAAGGGGGTAAAAAGAAGCCTGAAACATGTCAACAAAAAAGTAAAAAAAGGAAAACGTTCGCCTAACTACAACCAAATCCCAAAATAATATTAGTTTTCCTCACAGAAACAGTGCTCCTGGCGGCTGACCAGCCAGGAGATAGCCCTCCCTCCGAGAACACCTCTCGCCATGACGTCTACTCATACTGGACGTCCCAGATCTGACCCTTGACTTACCACATTTTATATCATTACCACCACCTTTTTAAACAGGGCTTTAAGCCAAAGACATATTTATATTTTCTGTATAAAATTGGTACATTTTATTTAAATTACTTTAAATTCCCAAATAACAACTCGTAGAAAAAATTACATGCTAACTTTAATGTATGCGTTCAACTTTAATTATGAATTCAATTCAATGAACAAGTACAATTTTGCCAAAAATTACAAGAAAAACTTTACTTTTTCTTCTTTTAGACTGCGATTTCTGATGACAAAAATTAGGGTGCAATAATGGCGGCTTGCAATTGTGGTTCTTCCCAACAAGTATGTACGTAAGTATTGTTTTAAAGTTTAGCTTTTTTAATTATATTCCACGTTAAATTTTTTTATTAATTATATTTCTTTCATTTAATTTCAGGAAAAGGCAAACAAAGATGGAGTGTCGATTGCACTTAAAATCGACGAACGTATTAAAAGCCTGGTTACCTAACCTTGAATAGAGCTCTGTTCAACGTCGTGTACCTGCAGACTAACCAAAAGGTGATTAAAATTTAAAATTTACTTCATTTGTTTCCCCTTCTAATTCATATTTCTCCTTTTTTTTACAGAAAAAACCGCGGAATTTAATTATGATGCTTCGTCGTCCGTCTGTCTGTCCGAGGTTTCGTGTATTAAATGTCGATTGGGAATACCAAGCCACGCTGGGTTAGCAATGGCGCAAAATCAGCGGCTCCCTCGATGGATTGGATGGGCGATGGTGTGGCTTGTAGGCTCCAATTCTTCATGAATTTTTAGGTTTAAGATTTATATTCATTGCTTTAGAATTTTAGTCAATTGTTTTGGTTTTTTCTTTCTTTAAACTTTGTTAAATTATTTCCAAACTTTGTTTAATTTTAAAAAAAGTTCAATTTTTCTTTTAATTTTCCATTTTTGTGAAAACTATTTGTTTTCTTTCAATTTTTAGCCTTTTGTTGTTAAATTTTGTTAAATTATTTTAAGGCTTCCAATTTTGTAAAAAAAGTTTGTATTTCGTGTTGTTTGTATATGTGTTTCAAATAAATAAAAACATTGAATTCACTTCTCAGCAAGTGGTTCATCACCAAAAACTTTGTCGGCTTTTTTTCTTCGCTGGTTACAGGGAGCCACACATCCAATCTTCTTCGCAGGTAAATCAAAAAGGGCAGATTTTTCTTACAATTTTTGCCAGGAAATTCTGGCTGCCATTTTCCTCGCTTAATTTTTCCATTTTCTTTTTACATTATTCCCTAATATTGACATTTAAGTAATTGGAATAATCAGCTGTTTTTTAGTAATTGTTCTTCTTCTTCTTCTAGCTATCAATTATTTTCAGGGTTACCCCTTTTAAAGGCGCCCACCACAGAACTAAAGTTGTGTCTGATCCAATTTCTATCACATTTGAAGTATTTGTACCATGGGATATGCATAAATCTACATAGAATGTGATTCTATGAAGATCAAATGTAGGAACTATGGGTATATTTCCTTATTCAGGCCACAATAAAGTGTAGGGTATAAAAGGTAGTAAACGAGAACGCCATATTTGTGTGCGTGTTTTCTGTTTTGGATGTTATAGCTTTTATAGCGATCTTACGTTTACGGTAGCCGGTCTCTTATTAGCACTAAGCCAGTTCAGACACTCTGCAATCGCCCGGACCTCCGTGTGAATGATCGTATTATGATCGGTCAAGCGGAAAGATATTACGGTGTTTGGCTCTTCAATAAAAAGTATCAGTCCCGCTCTCCCTCTAGCAATGAGTCGTCTGTATAACAACAGTTTCCTGTCGGCATTTGCGATGGGAATCCGTTGATCCACTAGTTTCTTGTAGGAATTAATGTTTAACATGAGGCAGCTACAATTGTTTAAGGTATCCGGTCCGATACAAAGTTTTCCATTGATTCTTCCGATGTCACCTGTTAAAATGTTTGATGGTGTGTAACGTGGTCTTTTCTTATTCACTCGTCCGTCGCTCTGAGCCTTATGGCCGCCTCGTACCGATCTGAATATCTATTGGGTGTACATATAGAATTGTCTCTAAAGTAGTAGGATATCAATTGAAAACAAAAATCAATGGACAGGTATTAAATATTAGGTTATCAATAATGTAGTTTGTTAAAAAAATAATGTCAATAGATACACGAAAAATGGCTCAAAATGAAAGCGTAAATGAATGGGTTTTTATTTCTTAAATAAAATTGTTTCGCATAACAGCTTAAATAATTGTAAACCTATGTATCCATACTTATAAAAATTCATCAAATATATAAAAGAAATTGCTCTTCTGCAGAAGGCACACTACATTTGAAAATATTTTCAATCCCACAAGACTTAAAATAAATTCTTTCGCCCACCTTTTCTCTTAAGGCCGATATATAATTATAAACAAATTAATAAAATTTACAACGAACGGTTTTAACCTTGAACTGTAACTAAATAAAAACAATGTATATATGTATGCATGCACATATGCTCGTGTAAATATTTGTATGTATGTCGGCCTGAATTTCATGTAAACAAAAACAACAGGGTAATATTTTACAAGACTGTGGCGAGAACATTGCATCGTCAGAAGTGGTATGTATAATCATCAGTCAAACTGGCTGACGGATCAAACGTCAGTGTGATATTTAGTCGAATTCTATATGCTGCAATAAAAAAAATTGGCAAAATGCCTATTAGTTAAGCCGCCGGATATAATGGAAAATATAAATATAATAAATATTGCATGGACATGTATATAAAAATAAAATGTGTACATATGTATGTAGATATATATAATGCCATAATAAAAATCCAAAAGCAAATATCTTACACTTGGTTCTTAAGATAATACCAATCTAACGAAAAAAAAAATAAATAAAAAGGAGAATCATCGAATCAGAATCGAAAACAATAACAACCTCAAAATTGCCACGTCACTTTGTACAACAACAGCAACACTTGCCGCCAGCGGCAAACATCGATCTGTCGAACAATTCAATTTCAATTTTCAAATAATATATATGTCGATAGGTTTGTATATATATACACATTGGCCACAGCTGCAGACACACAGAGACTTTGGCGATGAATAGCTACAACAATAGCGGACCACGATCGACATCGTTTGCGGACAATTGCAAATACAACATCCATTAAATACAATTGACGTATATTGTTGCTGTACTTGATGTATGTACTGTGTATGTTGTTGTTGTTGAGTTTGTCAAAAACAGCAATTGCAACCATGGCAACAACAATCACACAATTATACTTAAAAATTTTAGGAATACGTGCAATTTGTTGATATGAATCGAAACTCTCTGGTCGCTGGTGGCGATGGACCCCCACTAATAATGCACAGTGTTTTGAAAACTACTTAATACTCTATTCAAGCGTGATAGTGTGATTTTTTTTATATTTGGCTGGAAAAACACAAGTGGCTGTCGTTAGAGCGCTCTAGCATTTAAATGTGAATAAATCTTTTGTGTCTCGTACCATCGCTCGTTACCGTGATACTGGTAGCGTAGCCCGACGTCAAGGAAGTGGACGAAATAAAACGGAAACATCAGCAGAAATGGTTCGAAAAGTAAAGAAGCGACTTATTCGAAACTCGCGTCGCAGTGGAAAAATGGATCGTGAGTTAAACATATCGCAATATTCCATTCGGCAAATATTGAAAAATGAACTCGAGGTAAAGCCATTGAAATTCCAAAATGTGCAAGAACTTACACCGCAACAGGAGGAACATAGACTCAAAAGAGGTAAAGAGTTGCTTCGCTTGGCCGAAAGTGGTGAACTGCCGAATTTGGTTTTCTCCGATGAGAAAACATTCGTTGTCCAGCAGTTTGTAAACGATCACCTCAAGCAAGCGCTTCGACGGGAATGGGCCAAAATACCTCAGAGCAACATTCGAGCAGCGTGTGACTGTTTCATTGGCCGTTTGAAGGCCATAATTCGTACCAAAGGTGACCAATTCGAGCAAATCTAAACTTATTCTAAAATTTGATGCTATTTCCGAAATTTTTTGCTCTCATTCAATAAAATTAAAAAAAATGTAAAACTTATGGCGTTTTACTTTGTTGCAGTTTTTTTTTATCTCACCCTGTATGTGTCAGCAAATAAAAGATCTTCAAGGTGCATACATTCATATACCAAGAAAAATACACATGGTTCTAAATTATTAATTTTTATTTGCAGTTCGTATAGGGTTCTAGGTACGGTGGCGGAACATACATAGTCTATAAAGGTCAATGTTTTTGTATAGCCCCCATATAAAGGTACCTCCCGGCATTCAATATTTTGATTATTTTTCCACATTTTCCACGAATTTGTTTAAAAGTTGTTATTTTGAGTTCATAATGGGTTCTAGCTCCGGTGGCAGAGCATTGAACATTAAGGTCCACGTTTTTCTATAGCGCACATATGATACCCACCGATATTCGGTATTTTGATAATCCCAGTCACATTTAGTTGTTTCAAATTTGGTATTTAGGAAGATTTGGTAGATGACAATTCTTGAAGTATAAAATTGTCTACAGAGGTTCCCGTTTTGGTATGGTCTCCGTATAACGGTGTCACCCACTTTATTTTTTTTTTTTTTTTTTTTTTTTTCAAAAGTTTAACAGCATTATCCAAACGGTCTTACTGGTATTTGTAGTTTAAAGTGGAAAACGTTTGAATTCAGATTCCAGAAAAATATTAAAAATTTACAAGACACCCACATAACGGTACAGCCTGACTCCTTGCATGTTTGAAACTTAATAAACAAAACTTCCTCTGAAACAATTTATGTATCCAACGTGGAAAGAAAGCGCCTCCAGTCGTTTATATGGATAGAAGACGACTCTAGTTTTCTATATGGTAAAAGAACCGAATGAACGGTATCATTGGAATTTAAAATTAATGATAATAAAGGTCGACATTTTACATTTGAAGGTTAACACTATTTACCTTTTCGAAAAAAAAAAAATTAAATCCACTAACCATCACGAATAGCTCTTAGCACTGTGCCAACATACTGCCTTACATAGTTTGTGCGAATGTGTTACAGCAATTTTACAGTTTATGTATTTGGTACGAAAATATGCAGCAACATTTTTACCGGTTGACAGCCGTTGAGCACAATGACCTAAACCAAATAAAAACTGAATTAAAAAAACGCTACAGCAACGAACAAAAAAAAAAACAGCTACATGAGCAAAATCAAATAAAATTGAAATGATGAAACAAATAAAATTGCTGACAATTTTCATTACAAAATAAATTAGATTAATGCTCGTGCTTTTTCTCATTTGGATGGCTGTTTTTCCTCCAAATACAGCCAAGCGACCAACGTGTGTATACCTTACACAGGCCACCTCGGTTTCTCCACCACTATGAGCTATGAGAGGTTTTACGTAATTCATTTCGATTTTTTTTGCTCTCTGTGCCGAAAGACGAAAACAACGACACTGGCCTGCCTGTGTTCTTGTTTTCAGCCAATAAATTTGTTTGCCATTTATTTTAATTAAAGAAAAATTTATTTTAAACTTAAACGAAAATTGCATTAACTGTCAGAAGAAATGACAAGAGTAAAAAAAATCCCTGTGTTTTTTTTCTTATTTTCGAAAAACAAAAAATAAAAGCAAAATACACAATTCCTTAAGAACGTGTATGGATGTCCATGGCGGACGTAATGGGTAATGGTTAGGCCGATATCTGTGTGTGGCATATTTTCTGTTTTGTTTTTCCTTCTTTTCTCGACATGGTTTTGGTGAAAATATGCTTCCGCTGCCGAGCAGTTGCCATTACGCGCCACATCGGCTGTCATAAGAGACCGCAAAACAAACAAATGTTTATGGTCCTACATGAAAGTATATTCACTTAATTTTGATTATTTTTATTTGTTTGTCTTCGGCAATAATTATTGCATTTTATTGTAGCGACTGTTTGTTTGTTTCTCTTTTCTCTTTGTGCCGCCAATGTTGTAGGCATAACAGAAGAAAAATGCAAGGTGTTTTATATCATTATTTATTGTTGAAAAATTCTTTTGTATATTCCTTTTCTTTTACATATAATTGCCTACGTTCATATATTCATGTAGCAATACATATATAATAATGTGTATAATGTAAGTGAAATATATTTGCCATAACAGGTAATGAGAGAAAGAACAAAGAAAGCATTTAATAGTTGTGAAAAAATCTGTAAATCGTTGTAAAATAAAAATTGTAAAGGCTTTTTTAAATAAAATTAAAATCAAATAAATAATCATTAGGAAATATCATTAGACTTTTAAGCTAAAAAATTCGAAAAATAAATTAACGTTATTTGTATATAATCACAATGTATATTAAAAAGATTTTTTCGACCATAGAACCGCTAAATTTGTTCCATTCTATTTGGAAGCCATCAGAAAATACCGAAATACAATTGATTAGGAAATATCCTACCAGTGCACTAGGATATGAATAAAAAATTAATGGAATTATGTTCAGAATACTTTTGAAACCTCGAAAACAAAAAAATTACAATCTGGCAACAACTTCCAGCCTTATGTCGAGTTGTCAAAGATGACATATTTTCTTTTCGCCATTTCCTTAAATTTAAACTTAATCAAGCCTTTTATTGTTATTGGCGCCAAACAAAAACTGTTTGCATTATATTAACAACAAAAAGTGAAAAACACGTAGAAAATAATGTAAATCAAGATTATAATAAGAAATAACAAGTTAAAAAACAGTAAGTTCGGCCTGGCCGAACTTTGAATACCCTCCACCATTTGGAATTTGGAAATTTTTAAGAAAAAAATCCTGTTTAAATTTTAAAAATACGGAATATAGCCTTTATATTGGGGTCTATACGACGTGGACTAACATAGGCGTTATTTGTCATAAGCCACTACCATATTCAAATTTGAAAACTTAAAATAAACGGTGAATAATGTAGCTAAAATCATCAAAATATAGTATATGGGGAGGTACCGTTATATCGGAGCTGTGCGAAGATCTGGATCAGCATAGACAATTTTCTGTCTCAGGCTGTAACATCCACAGACTGTAGTTACCATTACGAACTCTAAATACGTAATTTGAAACTACTCCGGTGAATCATGTCGCCAAAATCATCAAAATACCGAATATAGAGAGGTACCGTTATATGGGGTTATACGAAGACGAAGATCTGTACGGACAATTTTCTGTCTTAGGCTGTAGTATCCATTTTGAACTTCAAACACCAAATTTGAAATAATTCCTATGAATAATGTCGCTAAAATCATAAAAATACCAAATATAGGGAGGTACCGTCATATGGGGGCTATATGGAAACGTGTACCTACATGGCCCATTTACGAACTTAACCTGCCTACTGACAAAATAAACATGTGTGGTATATGGGGAGGTACAGTTATATCGGAGCTGTGCGAAGATCTGGATCAGCATAGACAATTTTCTGTCTCAGGCTGTAACATCCACAGACTGTAGTTACCATTACGAACTCTAAATACGTAATTTGAAACTACTCCGGTGAATCATGTCGCCAAAATCATCAAAATACCGAATATAGAGAGGTACCGTTATATGGGGTTATACGAAGACGAAGATCTGTACGGACAATTTTCTGTCTTAGGCTGTAGTATCCATTTTGAACTTCAAACACCAAATTTGAAATAATTCCTATGAAT